AAAAATGTGATTGAAGAGTCCACTACCCCTATGACCAAATTAGAAAAATCTGCAAATAAGAAATTAAATATAAAAATCAAGGCAATAACTGAAAAAGTTAATAAGTTATCAGTGATTATTGAAAATCTAAAAACGTGTAATGAAAGCTACACAAAAAAAAAAACTATCGTTTAAAAGTAGCCTCCGAAAGAGAAAAAATAGAAAAGGAAAAAATTTACAATAAGATAAAAGCCCGAAATGAAGTTTTAGAAAGTGCTTTGCAAAAAACTTACTATAAAAGTGACACACATTATGATAAAAGAATATTAAAAAAATTATTCAAAATTCTGAAAACAAATTTTATTTAGCGAAATGTTTAGGTTTAAAGTACAAATTAAAAACGCGGAAAAGAAAGATTAAAATAACAATGGTTGAAGACATCCAATCATTATACTTGAGAGACGATGTCGGTCGCAGTACCACTGGAAAAAAAGAAACACGCATAAAAAATAAAGAAAAGCAACAAATACGTTATTTATTGGACAATATTCACAATACCAAGAGGAAGGTGGACGATACGGTCTCACAACATTTTATAAACAAAAGCCTCATTATGTTTTGTCTCCACGCTTAAAATCGAGAAATACTTGTTTGTGTATCAAACACGCAAATATTGAGTTTCAACACCAAAAGTTAAGACAGATAGGAATAGTTAAGTTAGACTTAACTATTCCTATCTGTACCGCTCAGACCCGTCCAACTATAGACCTATCGCGATCACCTCCTTGTTCTCCAAAATAATGGAATCCATTATTAACTGCCAGCTCATCCGGTATAAATCGCCCGTACGGCTCTCTTTTGCAAAACAAATATAGCTTCAATATCAGTCGCATTACCTCATAGCAAAATTCCATAAGACATTACGCTGTGAAAGTAACTAAAATACACTAACCTAGCTGTCACAACATCTGTGAGACTTCTAATCTTTCTTACAGCATATGCTGCAGAACTAAGTCTGCTTGCTAATTTAGATATATGGGGGCCCCATTGAAGTTTCGCGTCAATAGTAATACCGAGAAAAACAGTGGTATTCACAAGACTCAACTCCTCCCCATTTAAGAGCATATTGATTTTCGAATGTTTTACATTAGGTATTGTAAATTTAATACATTTTGTCTTATTGCCGTTTAAGAGCAAATTGTTGGCGTTAAACCAATGTACTAGTTTCGATAGAGCATTATTTACATCGTCATATTTAATTGACTGCCGTTTCAGTTTGAAAATTAAAGATGTATCGTCAGCACATAATACTATATCGTGATTGTCCCCTACAAGATAAGGTAAGTCATTAATATAGATTAAGAACAGGAATGGGCCAAGAATCGAGCCCTGAGGAACGCCCATTGATACTACCGATCCGGAGGAACATTTATCATTGATGACGACTTTTTGAGTTCTGTTACTTAAATATGAAGTAATAAGTCTAAGCGCCAAATTTTTTACACCGTAATGTTGTAGTTTCCTGATTAATGTATCATGATGAACACAATCGTAGGCCTTGGAAAGGTCACAGAAAATACCTAAGGCATCTTGGGAACTCTCACAGGCATTAAAAATATATTTCATAAGCTCAACACCGGCGTCAGACGTCGAGCGACGCCTTGTAAAACCAAATTGATTTTTATGAAGTAATTTATTTTTATTAAAAAAAAATTAACAACTGATCCAAAATTATTTTTTCAAAAATTTTACTGAGAGTTGGTAGTACAGAAATAGATCTATAATTAGCGGGGTCCAATGTACTACCAGATTTAAATAAAGGTATTACTTTACTATACTTCATTAAATCAGGAAACACACCAGAATCGATACAAGTATTAAAAATAATAGCAAGATGAGGTGCAATTAAATCTATTATGGACGCAATCACTGTAACGGAAATCCCCCACAAATCTGCGGTTTTCTTTACATCAATGGTTTTGAAGTATTTTACAATATTATGCGGTAATACTTTTTCAAATCTAAATTCTTTTAAACAGGTATTAACATTCTGTTTAAGTAATGACTCGGCGACAGTTGGAGAAGTATTCAATGACTCTGTTGTCAAGATAGGAACATCAGTGAAATATTTCTCAAACACCGCTGCAACTTCTTGATTTGATTTAATCAATTCATTATTAATTTTTAATTGATAGTTTGAGTTACGAGGTTTCTCTTTACCGGTTTCGCTGTTAATTATACTCCACGTCATTTTAATTTTATTATTAGCCGTTTTAATTTTGTTACTAATATGTAATGATTTGGCTGTGGAGCAAACTCTTTTAAACATTTTAGAATAATTTTTTACATATTCTTTAAAAGCATCGGAAATATTATACGATCTTTCATGGTAAAGGTCATATAACCTTCGTCTGCTTTTATGAATTCCTACTGTCGCCCACTCATTAAATGCCTTGCGACTGTTTTTGGAGAATGTTTTAGAAGTGAATGTTTTATTAAATTCATTTTTTATAAAGGTAAATAATTCTCTATATAAATAGTCTGCATTGTTCTTATAAGAAAGGGATGGAAGGTTTTCTACCATATTACTTCTAAATCTCTCCAGGCGTTTTGCATTAATAGGAACAAACACAATTTTCTCAATTACCTGTTTTTTGTGCATATAAAGTAACGAAACCAGTTGTCCACAGTGATCTGAACTAAGTTTTTGAATTATTGATTTGTTGATTGGTACAACACGTGTAAAAATATTATCAATACAAGTTGCACTACACCCTGCAATACGTGTAGCTTCAAAGAATAAATTATTAAGATTATAGGATTTGAACAAAGAACAAAATTTAATACTGATGGAAGAAGTTTCCAGGAGATTGATATTAAAGTCTCCACACACTACAAGAGATTTATTCTGTTTATTAAGCTTAACTAAAACTTCTTCATATCTTGAACATCATAACTTGAACATGGGGGTTTGTAAACACTGACAACAATAAGGTGCTCAAGCTCAACACATGCCATTTCTACAGTACGCTCAACAGAGAGGCTCACAATGTCTTTACGTTCTTTACATGATAAGGACTTATTAGCTAATACTAAGGAGCCACCATGTAATTTAGTATGTCTATTGAACGAACTGACCACCTGGTGATTACTGAAATTAAATATGGAGTTGTAATCTTTCAACCAATGTTCTGTAACACATAAAATATGTATACTGTTACTATTTAAAAATAATTCAATTTCTAATTCTATTATTCCTTATTCCTAACATACCTTGTATATTTTGATGCACCAGGTTGATACAGTTTTTATTATTGTTATTTTGTAAAATTGCATAATTATGTATTGGTAAGTTGCATTCTAAGCTATTTAAATTATCTTTGCTAGAGATTACCTCTATTGTCTTATTATCTAATTTAAATTACTTGGAACTGGTTCCAAATCAAATGTAAAATTATTTTGTTGCTCAAAAGAAGCAGGTGTCAAGGTAGCCAAATCATTGGCTGAGTTAAAATATAAATAATAAGATAGCGTATTTGCTACCAGTCTTAAACTATACTTTGATAGGTAATACCTATCTCTTGTCAAAAACTTCTTAGTTAAATTATTAATATCAATTAAATGAAATTTATCATTATTATTCTTACAATCAAATGTCAAATTTAAGTTATTGTTACATGTCAAGTTATGCATCATTAAATTTAAATTATGTCTTAGTTTATTTTCCTGTGGCCACCCCTCTATGTAAGGCAATGTAAACAAGATAACTTTAACAACATTTATGTTATTGAGATATTCAATATATTTTAATAATTGATTCTTGTTCATATTGCCTCTTCCCACAAAAATTATTAAATATACTATTAGGGTTAAATTTACTAGTTAAAATTTTATTCATAATATCACTGAATGATGCTCCAGGCATGCAGTAATTACTTATCTGTTGCCTTTTTAAACAGTTATTCAATACCCAAGTTTTTGCCTATGTCATCACTATACACAATTACATTATTCTTTTCATTATATGAATTACTTTTTAAATTTATCTGTTTTGTTATGGTACTATCATAGAGTGTAGGTAAAGAAAATGAAGTATTACTGCTTGTCATATTATTAACACACATTGTCCCTAAAGAACCTGGCAGTGAACGCTGATATTCATTTTGATATTTAAATAAGGAGTCAAAACGTTCCTCGTTATATTTGCAGGACTTTACCAGATTATCCATGGCCAGTATGTGTTCTTTTATCTCATTCCCTGCAGATTTATATTTATTTGACATAATTTGTAATGAGGTTTGAAGTGATAAAATTTCTGAATTAAGACACTCTATTTCAGTCTCATAACAATTTTTCATGTTTTCCACCTCAATTGAATATAATTTAATTTTACTAATTAACTCTTGCTTTTCCTTACATACATTTGTATAATTTTTAATATTAATTTTAGTTTTAATTAATTTTTGCACTTTCCTAATATATTTATTAATTTTTATATATTTTCTTAATTTTCTTTCTCATTAAAAAAGATGGGAATGAAAAAAGGAAATAAAATTAAAGAAAACAAGAAAGGTAGAGAAACATGGGACAGTAAAAGATTTGTTAAAAAACTTCAATAGCAGCATAACTCAAGAGTTTAAAAAACACTTCTCTAATATGGTACACCAATACCAGCAATACCAAAAGGCGGTAAAAAACCTAAGAGAACACGAGGCACTCATAGTTTGTGATTTCTCCGAAAACTATGAGACAAAAATGTACAACGAGATACAGGCTATGGCGCTTCTAAGTCCCAAATAAGCCTACATACTGGAATGCTTTCTTATGGAAAAAATCGCAGTCAGTTTGCACATTAACGCCTTTAGTACACCTACGCATTCGTATGCGGTAGCGAGTCTCTGCGGAACTACTGCGTAGCGAAATATCTGCGGAACGTTAGTACACAGCAATGTTTTCGCAACTTTTCGCAATGATATGCCATTGTAATTTTCGACGACTGCAGGTGCAGACGTAATTTCAGAATGTCATCTCAGTCATCGCTTTCAGATTCTGAAGAAGAAGAATTGTTATTGCTGGTGTCAGTACTAAAGAGAAAGCGTAGAATCTGGGTGCATGAAATAAATCAGAAACGACGGAAACTTGGAGAAAATAAACTGTGCTTAGAACTTCAATCACATGAAGATCGTTTCTATACCTATTTCAGAATGAAGCCAGAAACTTTTGAATATTTACACAATCTTCTTGAACCTCATATTAAAAAGAAAAATACAAACTACAGAGAGGCTATTCCAACAAAAGAAAGACTGGCACTTTGTTTAAGGTAAGAAAATTTATTACTTATAGGTAATGTTTAAGTATTTATTCACGGTTCATTCCAATTACAAAGAAATTCATGTATATTTTTTTGATGTCGTGTTGTGTTCTCGTTTTTTCGTTGTCGTGATACTTGGGTGTGTGTAATTCTTCTGCCACTGGGTATGTGTATCAGTGTAGGAGTTAAAACGTTTTGAGTGTCTGGGATTGAATGTGTTTGCGTGTTAGGTATATGTATCTGTGCAGTTGAAACGTTTTGAGTGTCTGGGATCGAATGTGTTTGAGTATTAGGAATGTGTATCTGTGCAGTTGAAACGTTTTGAGTGTCTGGGATCGAATGTGTTTGAGTATTAGGTATGTGTATCTGTGCAGTTGAAACGTTTTGAGTGTCTGGGATGGAATGTGCTTGCGTGTTAGGTATATGTATCTGTGCAGTTGAAACGTTTTGAGTGTCTGGGATCGAATGTGTTTGAGTATTAGGAATGTGTATCTGTGCAGTTTAAACGTTTTGAGTGTCTGGGATCGAATGTGTTTGAGTATTAGGTATGTGTATCTGTGCAGTTGAAACGTTTTGAGTGTCTGGGATAGAATGTGTTTGCAGTTCTTCAGATGGTGTCGATCTTGAAATGTTCCAGTCGTTATCGACGTAGTAAAAATTGGGAGTACTAGAGGATGAAGCATTGCTGAAATTAGAATTTGGCCGGCTATTATTCAATTCTTCAAGTTGAGCCTCAGTTATAATTTGTGTTATTTGAAGTTTAATAATAGCTTGCTTTCGTAGAGAAAATTTCTTTACAGTATGGGCATAACCTAAAAAATCCATGTCCATTCGATCACACGGTATTTTGACAAGATTTTCTGTAGCGTTTCTGTCCGTAGTACCCGATTTTCAAGTCTTTAAATAATTTATAATCTTCTCAGCAGGATCGTCGTTGCTTACACGGCGTCGTCTTCTCCGGGATACTTCAGTTGCAGTTTCAGCTGTAGTTTCAGCTGTAGACCGTGCTGTCTCCAGTTCTTGAACGACGAGTTCGTTCTGTTCATTATTTGAAACCTGTTCGGCTTCTGTAGAATTTTCATAATCATTCTCTATAGATATACTCGTAGTACTGGTATCCAGTGTACTTTCAGTTTGTCTCAAGTTTGTGGATGAATCTATGAACGACATCTGTTCAGCCCATTGCCAATTAGCAAGCTTCTTCGCGGCTTGTCCACTGCTTGTTTGCTGACCCTGTTTATATTTTTTATAAGTGTCCCTTAGGTTTCTCCATTTATTTTTCATAGTTTTAACTGTAACAATATTTCAGGTTTTTAGCAACTGGTGACACATACACAACAATATCTTTCTCTTATCGTTTGGGTGAATGCACCGTTTCAAAGATAGTAACTCAAGTATGCGAACAAATTTGGAAGATACTGCAGCCAGAGTACATCCCGGTTCCTTCTACTAAAACATGGTTGGAAATAGCTGAAGCATTTCAAACAATATGGGGTTTTCCTAATTGCCTCGGGAGTATTGACGGCAAGCATATTGTTATTAAATGTCCACCTAACAGCGGCTCACTGTTCTATTGCTATAACAAACGATTTTCTACTGTGTTATTGGCAATAGTTGATCCACATTACAAATTTACTTACATAGATGTAGGATCATATGGTAAAGATTCCGATAGTACAATATTTGAGAACTCATCATTTTATCAGCTTTTAAAAAGTGGACGGGATCTGAATTTGCCAGCTCCAAAACCTTTGCCAGGTTTCCAACAGACTATTATTAAATGTCCACCTAACAGCGGCTCACTGTTCTATTGCTATAACAAACGATTTTCTACTGTGTTATTGGCAATAGTTGATCCACATTACAAATTTACTTACATAGATGTAGGATCATATGGTAAAGATTCCGATAGTACAATATTTGAGAACTCATCATTTTATCAGCTTTTAAAAAGTGGACGGGATCTGAATTTGCCAGCTCCAAAACCTTTGCCAGGTTTCCAACAGACTACACCACATGTATTCATTGCAGATGGAGGATTTAAATTAGAAACCTTTCTAATGAGACCTTTCACTAGAGACGCAGCAATGAATGACAATGATAAAAAATATTTAATAAATCATTAAGTAGGGCACGAGTAGTAGTAGAATGTGCGTTTGGCATTTTAGCACAAAAATTTAGAATATTTTTGAGGCCCTTTGAAACAGATTTGAATAATACTATTAAAATTGTTAAAGCTGCAGTATGCTTGCATAACTTATTGCAGATACAAGAAGGTGCACACACATACGAAAATAAACAATTTTCGGACACTTTAAGAGCATTCGTACCAATGCATGCCAATAGACATAGGGCAGACTTAGTAGCGTTTAATGTTCGATCACAATTTGTAAATTATTTCAAAGAAAATTAAAAACATAAAATGTATGCCTGTATGAAATATAAACAATAAATTTCTTACCATCTATCCGAGTCATTTTTTGAAGTTTTCTCCATGCTACCTCTTTTTTGTACGTATTTTTATAATCTGCGTGTCCAATTGCGTATAATACGGGATAATCTCGAATAGAATGCAAAAATAATTCAGTATTTTCGGCATCCATGGCGCGAAAATCTGTCCTCACCGACAGAACGCGAGCTGACGCTTTGCGATGCGAAACATCACTAGCGAAACGTATGCGTCTGTGTAACGGCCATTTCGCAGGTCCTTGCGAAACAATACTGACAAGGACGCAACTATTTCATCTATCTATGTGCTAGAGTGAGACATATCATATGCGAAAACCTGCCACACTACTTACAGTTTTTTCGTTGTTTCGCTACCGCATACGAATGCGTAGGTGTACTAAAGGCGTTAGTGACACTACTATTCCCCAACCATCTGCTATCTGGGCTCACCTAACCCCAATCTTAGATTTTTTAAAAACCGAAAGTCCCACGGTTAATGTAATACATTTTTATTCAGATGGACCCACCAACCAATACCGGCAAAAAAATATTTTTTCTTATTTTCCAAGTTTGTAAGAAATTACGAGTTTAACGATGCAACGTGGTCTTTCTTTGAGAGCGGACATGGGAAGAGCGTGGCCGATGGTATTGGTGGCTGTGTGAAGCCTATTATAGATGCAAAAGTTAATCATGGGGCAGATATTACCTGCGCTAACGACGCCTATGATTCATTAAAAAAAGATACGAAGACTATTAAAGTGTGTTTGATCGACGAAGATAACATAGATAAATTCAACAATACAGGACAAAGTAGAAGTTTTAAAAGGGACTTTCGAACTACACCAAATTATATCAGACCAAAGAACGGATAATATGAAAGCCTGTTTACAAATCAAATACAGGGATTTAAGCTGTTTTTGTGGACCTAAATCTGGATGTTGTATGTGTTTTTCACCACGGCATCACGTTCTTGTTAAGAAATGCGCACCCTGTTATAGCTGCACTTCTTTTTTCAGTGATGTTATCTCCAACGTTATAAACGCACAATTATCTTCGGTGCCGTGTCCATAAACTAATAATAATGATTTTGACACTATTACTAAATATGCAGAAACTACAGACGATTTAATTGATGTAGATAATCCTGATTTACTTATTTTATCGAACATCCAGAACACTCAAACCGGGATTCTTGATGCTACATCGGTAATGACCAATTCTGAAGACGATTTAATGGACGTAAAGTTTGTCAACTTATCTGACACCCAAGAAAATCAATTAAGTCTTGATATGGCATCAGCTACAAATAAATGGAGCATCGAATGTAATCAATGCAGTGTTCCTATTACGGGAAAATATAAGGCAAAATGCATGGCATGCAAAAAATACTATTGTGACCAATGTGTCGACGGTCCCATATATTTTGACTACATCTGCGATACTTGTTACGGAGGTAGTTTTCGCAAACATTTGTTTCGTTGATTTCTTTCAATAATATAAAGTTATTCTCTAATCATACTCTATTATGATTGTTTGCAGATTAAAAGTTGGGTCCACAAGCGCATCTAAGGCTCCTGAAATAATACGTAAAATGATCTACGCTGATGTTGACACAGTATTCACTATGCAAGACTTCATATCTATATATGTTCATCACCTTCAGTGGCCATGGACGAATACTCGTTTTATTCTTACTGAACAATTTTTTGGGTGCGAAGAAAATACAAATGCTTTATCTAATAGGTACATTTTTTGGTGTCACAACTGCAATTTTCTATTTACGATCATTATCCGATCGATGAATGCGAATTTTGTAGTTAGTCTTTCGGAAACCTTATGGTGTGAAATGTTGTCTTTTGTTATTGGTCCTTTTTTATTTCTATATAAAAAAAAAAAAAAACTTTATCTTTTTAACATTTATTATTAATTTTTAAATGTAAGCTAACTGTATAGATATAGAGGAATATAACTGGGATTGTATTTTGTTATAATATTAAATATTTCTTTGAAATTTATAAAGATGTTGTTGTTCCTAGTGATCGCTTTTATGTCGATTTTAATACAAGTCACTAATTAATTTTATTAGTAAGTAAGATTTAAATTTAAAATAACTTATCTCAAAGAATATTACTGTGATTTTATTAGCATTAGATCTTTGTCGTTGGCTAGTGATAGTGTGACGCCTCATAATTATTATTAATAAATAATAATTAAATTCATTATACAGACATTTAAAAATGTCATAGAAATTATAATTTAAACAATAAAATGCAAATAATAAGCATAGAGTTCAAAAATATCCATTTGGAATATTGAATATTATATATATTAGTAAACGCATAAAATGTCTCTAAAAATCTCTAAATTTATTAAAAACCTGCTTAAAATGTTAAAAATGTATTAAATCATATAAATACAAGGCGATTATATTGCAATAACAAAGATAAATAACATTTGTAATATAATAGAAAAAAAGTTGATGAAGGTGTTCGTGTAATAATTGGAAAATTTCTAAGTTAATGAACGTGTTCTTGTAATGTTCCCTTATATTGGGGCGTTGTCGGAGACACATACCCAAGGTTGTACATATATATGGGGTGGTCGGCTGACCGACTGCTAGTACTAAGGTTGCACAATGACTAGTCCTATATTAGGGACTTAACATAGTAAGGTCTGACGAACCAAAGCATTAATATAGAAGGTCTCTATGATGCATAAGCATTATGATAGCAGAGTTATGACTTGAAGTCCCATATGAATAAGACATACAGTAGTATGGTCTATGAAATAAAGCAAATATGTGGAAGGTCTCAAATATGTAAAAGCATTATATTGAAAGAAATGGGACTTGAAAAGGATTATTATAGTGGCGTGTAGGTTGCTTCGCAGCCTCTGAGACCGAGGTAAACTTGGACTCACTAACCGATGTGTCCTAGACATATCATCTTAGTGCCGGTGGTAAGCGGGTTTGTTGTAGCAATACGACTTGCCCGTGGACATCGCACACCCCTACCGGTTGTGGGCGGCGTCTTAGCGCATAGCGTTATGATACGTCGGCTATCTTTCGGATTAGGGTGAGTGTGTTTGGTAGTACTTTTAAGTGCAGCAAGCATACTCAACTTCATGTCTTAGTGCAATAGCGCTATGATACGTGGAGTATTGGCTACTGACGTCTTAGTACCGTGCTACTATGATACGTTGGTGGTATTTTTAGTTAACAACATTATCAAATTTTGTTACCAAAGTCGATAGGGATCATGTGGGTGTGTTGTGAGGGGGCGCCATCCGTATGATAGTTGCATTGATGCTTACTGCTACTTGCAGTATTGTGTCTTGTGATGGATCTGCGGGTGTGCTGCACCTGATTCGATGCATCTTGTGGTTCTGGTCGATGGAGGTATGCGGGTGGTGATGTCTGCTGGGACTGTATGGGGGACCTTGGGATGGTGTAAGCCCGACGATAGTCGTATTGATGCTTGTTGCATTCTGTAGCATTGCGTCTCTACGATGGTTGTTTGGCGGGTCGCTATTCTCAATGGCGCTCTCTGCGTCTTGGTTTGACTCACAACCTAAGTAGCTTTGCCCAAGTCGGGTCCCTTCATTGCGGGGCTGCAGACTGTCTGCCCTCCATGATGTTTTATATAACAACTTAATAATATATCTCTATAAAGTTCCCACCTTTGAGAGATTGAAGGCAACTTGTTGGTGGGTGAGACTAACATGATCGAAAAATGCATATACTCAACGTCAGTGACACAAACCCTTTCTGATGGCGAATTATTACTATTATCTTATAACTGCCTATTGGCTATATCTGCCATTGTATTGGTTGGTGGAGCATATGTGTCCACCTCATGCGGGTGGTAGCTGGAGGGAGAATCTGAGGAGGCTCTCAAGGCTGCGGCCGAAAGCCGCGCAACGTGGGACCCCATTCCCTTGAGGTGAGCGGTAGACTCATGACACGCTCTGCGGCCAATTGGCCGTGCTGACCATGCAATTGGTGGTGATGCCTTACACTTACATCACGTCTGCAGGAACGGCGGTCTGGCAGGTGGTGGCGCTCACGGAAGGCTTTTTATGGTCAGTGTGCCTATTGTTGCCTAACCCGTGTGACGTACATTCACTGTGGCTGGATTTGATCGTATTCTGTATGGCGTTTACACGCATTGACATGCGCGACTTCGGTCGATGTTTGTGCTTACGCACTATCAAGGGGCCAAGTCCTCTTTTACTGGTTCGCCAGTTATTTTGCTGTGGACTACGGTCCAGTTCCCAACTTTGCGTACCCTTCGGGGGGAGCGCATTAAAATGGTTGGCGCTCACCGTGCGCGGCGTGTGTGGGGCCGTGTACCTCCTCCACATTTTTTTTAAAATGTGGGAGAGCGAAGCCCTTGTAACTGGTATTTGATATAAATATTGTGAGCCTTTTCCAAGCGGGAAGGGATTAATTAATAAGGAATTGACTGTTGTGAACCAGATACAAGTGGAATAGGGACAATTTATTGTTCTTAACCTTTTTGAGCTCTGTCTTAGTGAACGGGGTTCTCTAGCTTATAAGACTCTACCAACAGCTTTCGATTGCTCTCGTGAATATTCATTCTTCCAAGATACACCTAAAAGAACTAAGTTACTATACAAACATAACGTAAAGAGGGGTCCTAACTAAGACGATCACGCCATAAATTTAAACGGCCTATATTTAAACCTTTAGAAAGATCAAGTTATACTGGTCACGTAAATTTGATATATTTATATATCTTACAGATATAGATTCTAAAGAAATACAAATATAAGTGGGATATAGTAGAAAAGAAAAAAGATGGGGGGGGGTTCGTTACAATAGGGTTGCACAGGTGTGGATTTTTTTGATGGTAAAGTTGTTTGGTGTGCAATTTCAGTGTGTTCCTAAAGATTTATAGATGTGATTTATAAATGTAAAGATAATTGTGAAATAAAAATTTGTTTATACTATTTTTTTATAAATGAATAGACTAAATATGTGTCATAGCTAGCGAATATAAGAATAAACGAGTAAGTAAAACACAGATCATAGAGATAATAAAAATGTATACTTAATAACAAAAATAATTTAATAGTTTTATCTCCCAATCATGAGAACGTGCGTTTACAATTTTGAATATGTCAACTTTGTTACTGTCCCAAAAACAATGAACGTATTTTGAGATTTTTTACTTATTTAATTGAGTTGTAAATGTAAATAATGCAGGTATTTTAAAGAAAAGACCGTAATCTTTTATAATCATAATGTTTTTGTTGAACAGAGATGCTACATTTTATGTGACCTTAAAAATTGGTGTTAACTTAGACCCAAGGTAACAAAACCAGTGAGGATAATGTTTTTCTTTTAATTTAGCGGCCTAATTTGTGTTAATTATTGCTCTATTTATTTTCCTTAGTTGACAGGATGGCATTTAAAATTAAAATATTTGATTATTTTAAAGTGTACTCATTTATTTTTATTTTTGTAACAAGTAACAAACCTGATTCTAAATCCTAATAACATTTCATATTTCGTTATATTTTTCGCCGAAACGAGGGATTTTCTTAGTTTTTGATATAATTTCATTTTTTTCAATAATTGCTTTAATGTCATGACGATGTATTGCATTTTGTCCTGGTAATAGCAACGATGTAATTTTCGGCCATTTTGGATTACATGTAAAAGTAATAAAAAAGCACGGTCGTAATAAAATGTAAATAAATAATAATAGTACTGAAAAATAATGACAAATTCACTATGACAATAAAATTAAAATGAGATTTGCATTGAAAAATTTAAATGATATGATGATGTATAACAGTCACTGCTACTATCGAGGCACAAATAAAACCAAAAACATTTTGTTTTTGCTTAAAACTAAGACTTCTCATAATGTTTTTGTTGTTCTCGCCGTAAAAATGTCGGTAAGAAATATTTCGTAATTCTCTCCAGTAGATAGACGACAACTTACGTCAAAAAAGGTTCGTGTTGCCAATTTCCACACATTTTGTGTCTTATTATTACTTAAACAAAACGATAGCTATGCATAACGCAGCGTTAGATGTTCGTGCTTCTGAATTTTAGTTCCAAATACGCTCACGGAGCACTATGCAAATTCCCATACAAAATTTTACTTAAACTAGACTGTCACGGAAACTATAATATAGATCAAAATGTTCGTGCTCGGGGTACAGGTGTAGTTAGTCCCTATGCGTCATATACCTAACTAAAACGGGTGTAATCCAAGGCTTTACGTTATCATTTTTTTAGCTACCGTGGTATACGAAGTATTGCTCACGATGGCATTACGTACGTTACTTAATATGTAAGGCAAGGAAGTGCTTACGTACAGTACTTTTCGTGTAAGCATTAGCCATAATCAAATAATATAAAAATAATTTCACTGTTTCATTTGCAATATATCAGACAAATAATTAAATAAAAAAAATTAAATTAAAATGGGAATTCTGTAAGCCCAACTAGTCCAAATGATCAAATTGCCGTGGCACAAGCGAAAATCATTAGAAATCAATCGGAAGTCGCTGACAAGTTGGATAAGTCAGTTCTGGTAATCATATGCATACTAGGAGTGATAACAGTGCTGACATTATATTGCACAATTTCTAAATGCCGAAATAACGTCGACCCATTCGTTGACATTATTACATACATAAACAAGTTACGCGCAGCGTTAACAACAGCAACGTACAGGAACAACGACGGGCACCACAAGTGGTCATCGGGTAGACAAATAGCAGGAAAATATACAACGTTACATATGACCTGGAGTACATTTTTTTTCTTTTCTTCGCTCTCTTAATTTCGCAAAGGAAGCGTACTAACTATACGGAAAGACCATGGTGATTTCATTCAGTCTGTAATTATAAGGCGTTATCATAATGGGTAATGTAAGCTGAAGTGGCAATAGGCCGGCCATATAGCTCGAAGAACCGACAACCGATGGGGAAAAAAGGTTCTCGAGTGGCAGCCTCGTACCGGCAAGCGAAGTGTTCGGCGTCCCCACACTAGACGGAGTGACGACCTGGTGAGATGTGCAGGAAGTCGATGGATGCAGGTGGCTCAGGACCGTGCTTTGTGGCATTCCTTGGGTGAGGCCTATGTTGAGCAGTGGACTTGTGAAGGGCTGTAATGATGATGATGATGATGATGATCATAATGGGTACTGTGGGTCTTTTACGATGATTTTTTTTTATAGCAGAGTAGCTCGTTATGGCAACTACCATCAAATATTTTTTTTTGTTTTTCGATGATTTTTTTTTATAGCAGAGTAGCTCGTTATGGCAACTAGCATCAAATATTTTTTTTGTTTTTCTTGTTTTTTTTTTTGTGTAAAATGTCTGTAATAGACATCTTAACCCTTAAATGCATGATGATGTATACAGGGTATTTTTGGAACCCTCCCGAAAACTAAGACAGGCGACAACACCAAGTACACCTTTGATCATGGGTCACAAATAAATTCGATCCTGATGAAAAAAAAATCATCTTTTTACAACGTTTTATTAGCTTTATTCACGCGCCATCATGTTAGTACAGCTAAATGAAACGATAATTTCATAAAAAATATCATGAAAATACTGAAACATAAAACCAGCAATGGAATGACTGAATTGATATCACCTGACTAAAGGAAAATGTACGCGCGAACGCAAATTCGCGCGGCCCGCAACTAGCGGGCCATTCCACAATACCTAATAATTTACAACACTTGTCTAAATACCTAACTTATCTACTTAACCTACTATTTTGCCACTGTGCTTGTCCGAATTTACAGGTTAAATAACCCAAATAACTGGTTCCATTCCCCGCTAATGAAAAAATACTTAAATGAAATGTAACCACGGTTGGAGTCATGCGTTTTTATTCATCGTGTAGGTATGTTTATTATTCTCATTTATTCAGTTATGTACCTGTTCAGATTAGTCTAGTACTAAGTTATTTAAAAAAAATAGTTATGAAACAGCTTACCGCTCTAAATCCTCCGTGGTCTTATGAGATGCGGCTCAAATTGTGCTCCATTCATTTCAAGGTAGATTTGGGTGCAGGCGGGGCATCATCGTGTGGTCTTCGGCACAGTCCGAACGTAGTTTCTCGAAAGCATCCACGATCCTTTGGCGCATTTCGTCAGCACTATCACACTAACGATTAAAAACCCTTTCTTTCACATACCCCACAAAAAGAAGTCTAACGGGGTCAGATCTGGTGAGCGAGGTGGCCAAGCGTGTGGTCCTAGTCTGCCGATCTAGCGATCATCAAATAGTTCATTGGGGCGCTCACGGACGAACCTCACAAATGTGGAGAGGTACCATCATGCTGGAACTATGTGCGGCGATATTAGGCCAACGATAGGTCGTTTAAAATGTCAACCAACTGTTCATTTATAAAGTTTAGGTATCGCTGTCCGTTCAGTCGCTCTGGCAGAAACACTGGTCCCAGTATGCGATCCTTAAATAAACCTGCCCATACGTTAACCGACCATCGGGTTTGGTGCCCGGTTTGTCGGACAGCGTGCGGGTTAACCTCTGAATACACGTGTGTATTTCTTCGGTTCCACAGGCCGTTTCTAGTAAATGTCGACTCATCTGTCCAGATAATGTGCTCAATGGAACCAGGCACACAGGTTGTTGCTGGTATAATAACCAACAATAAAGTTTCGGGGATATAACGTCACCCTGTCTTACACCTCTCTACAGTTGGATAGGTTTCGTACTCCGATTCTGTACTCGGAGAGCCATCGTAGCTCTATTGTACAAACACTTCAGCTCTTCGATATACCGACAGTCAACTTGGCACCGCTGAAGGGACTGCAGCATCGCCCAAATTTCGACTGAATCAAAGGCTTTCTCATAGTCCACATACGCAAGGCAAAGTGGCAGATTATACTCCTCTGTCTTCTGTACTATCTGCCGCAGGGTATATATGTGGTCTATGGTACTAAATACTTTTCGGAAACCGGCTTGTTCGGGAGGATGGAAGTCGTCAAAATTGCGTGCAAGACGATTCGTAATGAGTCTCGAAAACAGCACGTAGACGCGGCTCAGAAGGGAAATCGGTCTGTAGTTCTTCAATAGAGCATTGTCGCCTTTCTTGAAGAACAAGACCACCGCACTTCTGCTCCACGCCTCCGGAGTAGTGCCACCATGGAGGACGGAATTAAAGAGCTTCTGAAGGACTTCAAGTACCGGTTTTCCACCCGCTTTCAAAAGCTCCGCTGTAATTCCATCCTCGCCCGGGGACTTGCCGTTTTCAAGGTGTTGGAGAGCCATTCTAATCTCGCTCAGACTGACGTCCGGAATATCTTCGGAATAGTGTCGGATAAGACTAAAAATTTAACAATAATGCTGCTATAATTTCTTTAAAAATAGAAAAAAAATATTGACAATATTTTATCATAATAAAATGATTTTGGTTGAGGGTTGATGAAGGTTGGATGCTTTTTTACTTCGATAAAAATATATTTTAAAAATAACTCAAAGGGAAAATTAGAATTGTACATGGCTACACAATAAACACCATAATTTGGTCTGTGCCGTATTCTACGTTCTGCATAGTTGTTGTATTGGTTAGCTTTCTTTAAAATATAACGATATCTTCCTAGTTTCGACCGGCTTGCTTAACTGATTTTGTACCTTCTCTTACGACTGACCACGGCCACCTGTTCAACGGATTTTGTACCTGCTATACCACTGACCCACGGCTATTCTCTTACGGACTCCGAAGCCCTAAAATGGAAAGTACAAAAAAAAACAAAAGCCTTACTCGGAATATGAAAAACAAGTTTTAATACAATTAGTTCAAGCCAAGATCGGTGTGATCGAAAACCGAAGGACAGACGGCGTTTCGCTTAGAAAGAAAAGTGAAGCTTGGGAAGAAATTACCTCTCAATTCAATAATTCGAACGTGACACAAATTGTAAGTAAAATTAACTAAATAATTCATATGTGTAATCATTAAAATGTTTTTAGTATATCTTCATACCAGTCGGTTGAATTAATTGGCGTCATTTTCGTGTTTATGCTAAAGTACCTTACTGATACTATATGCACATGCAGAGGCACTCAATTAAGTTGAACTATAAATTCTTGCTACAGATACTTACATTAAATACTTACCCCTATAATAGCTCTAAGCTGTGCCATGTGAAACATTGACATTTGACACCATTTCTAATATTTATCTACTATTAATTTTCAGGCTGATACTAAACAATTAAAAAAGATGTGGCAAAATTTAAAAACCAAGGCCAGGGATGCCAAGACTCTGGAGGCCCAAAGGAAAAGGACAGGCGGAGGATCAGCTCTGTCAGATATGGGACCTTTGGAGTCTCAAATGATAGCTGTCATGCCAAATGTTTTGCTATCCATCAACATAGAAATTGACAGTGATACAATTGCTACCGGTAAGTTAAACATTAAAAAATGTGTTATTAATGGCAACAGATTTAAAAAATACTATGTATATGACAAGCTTTTGCCTGTGATGTTAGTGTCAATTTATTAAAAAGCCTGTTTAACTTGAATTAAAGAAACCAAGATCTCTCCTTGCTAAGTCCTCTGGCCGAAATTGGTTCAGCCATTTTGAAGATATTCCATGACTAACAGATATACAAAATCTGGTATTTGGGTTTTATAGCAAAATTAAAGAATATTAAATCGCTTTTAACTTTCAAAACAATATACCTATTTATTTTTTTACCTGCCACACATGCCTACACTTACTGTGTGGTTTTTATCCAGTGTTTGATAATAAAATTAACAGATGGATTGGATATCATAATCCATAGTTACATCAAATATGTATTTTTATTAAATAAACTAGTAGGATGCGGCAAGTAAAGACTGTGTAAGAACCTGCGAAGAAGGTGGAGTTATAGCAGAATTAAGAATTTTTATTTTTTTTGTTTTTGACCATTTTGACCCCCTAGGTGTGTAATGAATACTATTTGCCCATATTCAACCATGACCCTCATGACATCCTCTACATGATAGGCTATTCAAACTGACTATCTCTAAAGTTTGAGTCAGCCCCCAACCCATTTCTAGTCTTTACTTCCAATAATTAACTCATAAGTCATGATAGGTTTTACTTACCGTTTAGCACTATAAATTTAAATGATTTATCCACTCAAATATTATTAAGAGTCCAATAATGAATAGTATTTATTTAATCAGTAAGATGACATAATATGTGCTTGTAATTTCACTTATAACGTTGTATTTGTATTTCCAGGTAGTACCCTTGGACTAGACAACGATGAGCAAATGTGGCTCCCAAAGAGAGTTCGTATGTCTGATATGGAGCAAAATAATAATATAGAAATAGAATTCTCAGATGACGTACAAAAAAAAGCCCAAAGCCGAAACAGGGAAAACAGAAAAAAACTTTTGATGAACTGAAACAGGAGCTGATACTACAAGAATTTAAATAAATACTTACCCCTATAATAGCTCTAAGCTGTGCCATGTGAAACATTGACATTTGACACCATTTCTAATATTTATCTACTATTAATTTTCAGGCTGATACTAAACAATTAAAAAAGATGTGGCAAAATTTAAAAACCAAGGCCAGGGATGCCAAGACTCTGGAGGCCCAAAGGAAAAGGACAGGCGGAGGATCAGCTCTGTCAGATATGGGACCTTTGGAGTCTCAAATGATAGCTGTCATGCCAAATGTTTTGCTATCCATCAACATAGAAATTGACAGTGATACAATTGCTACCGGTAAGTTAAACATTAAAAAATGTGTTATTAATGGCAACAGATTTAAAAAATACTATGTATATGACAAGCTTTTGCCTGTGATGTTAGTGTCAATTTATTAAAAAGCCTGTTTAACTTGAATTAAAGAAACCAAGATCTCTCCTTGCTAAGTCCTCTGGCCGAAATTGGTTCAGCCATTTTGAAGATATTCCATGACTAACAGATATACAAAATCTGGTATTTGGGTTTTATAGCAAAATTAAAGAATATTAAATCGCTTTTAACTTTCAAAACAATATACCTATTTATTTTTTTACCTGCCACACATGCCTACACTTACTGTGTGGTTTTTATCCAGTGTTTGATAATAAAATTAACAGATGGATTGGATATCATAATCCATAGTTACATCAAATATGTATTTTTATTAAATAAACTAGTAGGATGCGGCAAGTAAAGACTGTGTAAGAACCTGCGAAGAAGGTGGAGTTATAGCAGAATTAAGAATTTTTATTTTTTTTGTTTTTGACCATTTTGACCCCCTAGGTGTGTAATGAATACTATTTGCCCATATTCAACCATGACCCTCATGACATCCTCTACATGATAGGCTATTCAAACTGACTATCTCTAAAGTTTGAGTCAGCCCCCAACCCATTTCTAGTCTTTACTTCCAATAATTAACTCATAAGTCATGATAGGTTTTACTTACCGTTTAGCACTATAAATTTAAATGATTTATCCACTCAAATATTATTAAGAGTCCAATAATGAATAGTATTTATTTAATCAGTAAGATGACATAATATGTGCTTGTAATTTCACTTATAACGTTGTATTTGTATTTCCAGGTAGTACCCTTGGACTAGACAACGATGAGCAAATGTGGCTCCCAAAGAGAGTTCGTATGTCTGATATGGAGCAAAATAATAATATAGAAATAGAATTCTCAGATGACGTACAAAAAAAAGCCCAAAGCCGAAACAGGGAAAACAGAAAAAAACTTTTGATGAACTGAAACAGGAGCTGATACTACAAGAATTATAAAATAATAAGAAGAGACATGAGGATGAAAGCAGACGGGCTGAAGAAAAATATTTAAAGGAAACTGAATTTTTAGAAAAAAAAACGAGCTTTAGAGTTAGAAATTTTAGAAATAAGAAAAGAAACAGAAAATATTTTAAAAAATAAAGCGATAAATGAATAAAATAAGTTTTGTTTTACTAAAGTTTATTTCTTAATTATTTAGTTAAATCGTGCTATTATAGACTGTCGATATGCTAGACCTGCAGTGGATGATGTTTCATTGTTTGGTCTTTCTGGAACTTCCGATATATGATCATTATCACCATCGTCATAAGCATCCCCACTCTGAATACCTATGTTGTGCAATACTGTACAAGCTACAATTATGTTGCTTGTATTAGTGAGCTTAGAACGTAGGCCCAACTGTAAGCATGAAAATTTATTTTTCCATACTCCAAAAAACCTCTCAACTATATTACGGGTTCTTATTTGAACATAATTGTATTGGTTTTCTGCTCTTGTTACTGGAGTTATAAGAGATGTTAAAAGGAAAGGAAGAGAGGGATAACCACTGTCACCTACTAAAACTCCTTGCAAATTCCCGCTTAGGAATCTAGCGTAAGCTTGAGAGTTTCTAAATATTCTGTTATCATGTGAACTGCCAGGCCAGCGGGTTACTATATCAAAAATTTCCATGTTTGGGCCTACAATAGCTTGTACATTAATAGAGAAATATCCTTTACGATTTCGGTATATTTCAGAATGGGAGATACCTCTGGGTCTATTTATTTTAATATGTGTGCAGTCTATAGCGCCAATAATATTGTTAAATCCATGCTGAATATTGGATCTTCCCAGTTCTTCAAATTTTCTTTTTACCACATTCATACTTCTTGGGAAATGTATATACCTTGGTAATAAATTGCTCAATTGTCTTGATACATTATTTATTATAAGACAAACTGTGGATTGGCTTATGCCAGTCAATTCACCACACACCATCTGGAATATCAAGGAATATAGGTATTACTTATTATGTATAAAACATACTTACTATATACATAACCAATGGTAACTTCTGACTATTCGAAAGAACTTGTAAAAGTTCAATTGAATAAAAATTCTATTCTATTCTACGAAACAATAATTACCTGGAAACAGCCTGTAGCATAAAACCTTAATTCAATAAGTAATTGCAGTTTTGGAGAAATCGGCAAGCCTCTATTGTCCAAATGCTTCAAATTGGCAATTATTAAAGGTAATATTACCTTTAAAACAGAGTGACAGTCTGAGCCATAGCATAAGCTTAGCACAATCTTAGCCCGATACAACTATAAATTCGGAATCAAAGATTATGCTAAGCATATACTCAGGTAAGTTTTTCGTAAGCTAAGTCTGAGCAAAGTCCAAGTACGATCTATAGATCTCAGCCTCGGTCTTCATCCTTGACAGTTGGCTCTTTCTGGCAGACAGATCTCTAGCAAAAACTTTGGAGGCTTGGATCCGCTCGATCGCTTCTTCAATACAAGCTGTATTGAAGTTGCGTAAGTCCCGCCTCATGCATTTGGAAATCTGTCTGTTCAGTTGCCTGTATGCTGTCAAATCTGTTGAAGAAAGTGGCTTCATCTCCCGTCTAACAGTCATGTGATTAAGAGTGTGATCGGAGAGTTTTTGTGTTCTTCTGCGGTGGGTCTTGCAGAACTTAGGTCCGACCGCATGGACAGTTTCCACGTGCTTGTCATTCATATCGTCCACTTCATTGCAGTCTTCTAGGCACTGAAAACGGTTTTGTAACTCGAGCTGAAAGGTTTCGGGACTTTGGAACAGAGCACGAGGGGGCGGAGCGTTGACTTCATTAGACGAGACCTTTCCAACTTAACGTTTAGGTTCAGTGTGCCTCTAACCATTCGGTGATCGCTACCAGTTTTCACCCTCGCAATCACGGAGACATCACTGAACAGTTGTCATCTGGTCGTCATAATGAAGTCAATCTTATTTTTTGTTGAACCGTCGGGGCTAGACCATGTCCACTTCCTGTGGGGCCGCTTCTGGAAGAAAGAGTTCATCATAAAGAGTCCCTCTTTCTCCATGAAGTCGGCCAGCTGCTGGCCTCTTGGGTTCCGTTGCCCTATTCCAAATTTCCCTACTTTCAGCTCACCGTTCTCTCTTGTGCCTAGATTTGCATTGAAGTCTCCCATTAACACCGTATAGTGGGCTTTGGAGGAATGCATGGCTCTAGAGATATCCTCATATATTTCCTCCACCTCCTCATCGGGATGTGGTTATTGCGTAAACCTGTATAACCTTCAGCGAATACCGTTTGGTGACTCTGAGTATAAGGTACGCAACCCTCGTCGACACACTCTCAATCTTTACAACGTTGTTAACGAGAGGCTTTTGGACGATAAATCTGACACTTTCTTGGGACAGATGGTCGCCCTCCCGGTGATAGAGAAAGTTGCCGGATTCGAGGATTACCGTGTCCTCCCCCTCTCTTCGGACCTCGGATAATCCTATAATATGCCAGCGTAACTTGTCTATCTCTTCTTCCAGCTCCAGGATCTTCTCGTCAGTCCTCAGGGTGCGTGCGTTGTATGTTACCAGGTCGAGTTGTTTTAGGTAGCACTGAACCTCCACCGGAGATTCTTAGCACCCCCTGCCCCGCCGTTACCATGGTCGCCACCGTAGCCAGGAATAGCGGGGCCGCCGGGGACTGGGGGCCGTTTCTTTGTTACTGTCATTCATAAGGGGGTATTTGCCATAGTTGCCACGCTTGGCGAGCGGATTGGCAACCGCAGTTTATTTATTGTAATTTTGCTGTTATCAGGAAGATGCTGCTGCCCATCTCCTGCCTATTTCCCTTTGTCGCCTTTTACGACACCTACGGGAAGATATGGAGTAGTGGATATTCTTAACCGCCACTACACGGCCCTCCTTCAGCGGTTATAAAATGGAATGACACAAAAGATGTTTACGTAATTACCACTGCAGTAGATCCTAAAAGAACTGAAATAATCCAAAGAACCCAAAAGGACATGTTCCATCTGCTATTGCACAATACACGAGACACATGGGTGGAGTAGATCATTTCGATCACTTCCGAAGCTCGTATAGCATTGGTCGTAGAGCACTGTGATAAATTCATATATTTTGTATAAACACAAGAATGAAACCCGACAAAACATACACAGGGATTTTAGATTGCGTTTGACGAGAAGTTTGAAATCTGCACATCTGTCACTAAAAAAACGAGATCCAGTGCTGTTCAAAAATAAAAAGGCTGAGGTTTTGGAGTGCCTAACGAGATAAGGTTGGGTCGGCAAGGACAAAATTTTTTAAAATTGTCGACGTTCAAACGTTGCAGATTCTGCAGTACACGCAACCAAGAAAAACGTAAAATACGTATGCGAAATTTGTAATGTTGCATTATGCGTTGCTCAATGTATGAAATCGTTCCATCAAACTCACTCTGGGGCATAAAAATGTTTCATTAGAACATTAATAATTAGTAATTATAATTTTAATAAAAAAATATAGTAAATCGGAGACAAAAAATATAAACATACAAACATTCGACATTTATATATAGTTGTCACATAAAGGGTAGTCTCTATCCAGGCAATGGGATTATGTTTTCCCACATTTTTTTATCAGGTATTTCAGTGTTTTTAGGGTTTCGTAGACCAAAAGGAAAAAACGAAATCCTTATAGGATCACTTTGTTGTCCGTCTGTCTGTCAAGACCCTTTTTCTCAGGAACGCGTGGAGATATCAAGCTAAAATTCATATCAAATACTCAAATCTACTGTCCCTTGGAGCTGTGAAAAAATCAAAATTCTAAGCTAACGCAATCAAACGATACATCCGTTTATGCCGCAAATTTTCGACATTCGCAAGGGAATCAAAACCTACAGGGTACTTTCCGTGAACTCGGAATCTTAAAATTTGGTATGACGCAACGTATTATAGCACAAATAAAGGAAAAATTGCGAAAAGCATAAATTTTTAGTTACATCGTATAATAAAAATATTTTTAATAATTTTAAACTTATATACCTACAGATTTGTTCAAAACCCTCGGTGCGCGAGTCCGACTCGCACTTGGCCGCTTTTATTTCAGAAATTTGTTGAAAAAGAATGATATAGGGCGCTATTCAAAGCCTAAATCCATATATAAAACGTTGTTTCTTGCAGCGGTTCTTCGGGGCCTGTTTAAGGAATATACCTACGCATACACGCTCGTCGGTTAAGGGTACTCTTAGTTTGGCCCATTTTCAATATATCACCAATTTCGTCGATAAGCGTTCGCTTAGGACGTCCCTTTCCGATTCTGCCGTTCACCTCTGCAACATAAATTTGTTTTGTCACTCTTTCCTCATTTATTCTTTCCACCACCGAAGCATTCCTTTCTTAATTCTAGTCACAAAATCATCTTGCAAACCACAGTCTTCTTTTATCACACAATTTCTCACTCTGTCATTCAGATAATACTAATAAAATCATACCTTTAATATAACTTAACATTATATTTATATTTCCTACATGTGAAATCCGCCAATAAGCCTCTCAGAAATAAGAATAGACCTCTGCCCAGCAGTGGGAGATATAAAGGCTATAATTTTTTTTTAGGCTAACATTGATTAACAGTACTTCATTGGTAATATGTCTTCTGAGAAGATTCTTCTAAGTCATTAATAATACAACAATTATCCCTAAAAAACCAAGTCTTTTAAACGCATTATTCGAAGGTCATTTCGTCTTTATTTTAATTGTAATGCACGATTAAGGCGTAGAATATTAAACACAAAAGTTAAACGTACAATTATTTTATCGCAATGAATAAGATAATTGCAGAAAACAAACCATTAATATGATCATAGTTCATAAAAAGTTACTGTTTTGCTATTGCCTAAATTTCAATTCCAACATAATACAAACACAATACGCAGCTGTCAACTAACTGTCAAAATTATGTCAAGAGTGCCGATTTGTCTTAAATACGGATTGGATAATTTCAATCTCAATTACTTCACACAATCATCACACAATATTAAACTAATGTAGCGCTAGAATCGCTATCAAGAGTACGAAATGTTATAATTTTAATTCCGATCGATCACAATTGTTTTCAAGAGTAAGCTTGCGGGTCTGTTCGTGCATATTACTGGCCTGTTGGTCTAGTGGTTAGTGACCCTGACTGCTACGCCGGAGGTCGTGGGTTCGATTCCCACCCAGGACAAATGTTTGTGTGATGAGCACGATCATTTGTTCTGTGTCTGGGTGTAATTTATCTATAATATTTATGTATTTAGAAATATATAAGTATGTTTATCAGTTGTCTAGTACCCATAACACAAGCTCTGCTTAGCTTGGGACTAGATGGCGTTGTGTGATAGTTGTGGAATATTATTATTATTATTATTATTATATTAAAGAAAGAAGTAGTTCTAAAGAATTGTGGATGAAGTCGAAAAATATGTTCGATGACTCAGGCTATTCCAGAAAAATAAGTTTTCTACGCCATTTAATCTCAATAAGGCAAGAAAGTTGTAGTTCCATGATGACATACGTAAAAGAAATGGTGGATACAACGCAATTAAAAGGCAGAGGCTTTGCTATTACGGATGGATGGATCAGATCATTATTATTAGCAGGTTTGCCAGAACAATTTTCACCCATGATTATGGCCATAAAGCACTCATATATTCAGATAACCACAGATGCAATAAAATCGATAAGGAAGTTGCAAGATTTACCGACTCCAATTGCAGTGGAGCTCCATTCGCTGCGAAGAAAGTGCTCAATTCCCGAATGAATTACAATTCGAGTATCAAAGATGGCGGACTAAAACAAAGAGAAAAGAAAATATGTGTAAAAAGAAAGACAAAT